TGCAAACGCGCAAACGCGCAGCTGCTGGCGTTGTGTGGGTGCAGCAGTAGTTCCTCGTCGAGTAGGGCACCGATATTCTGTTTCCTCACAAACCTTGGCCTTGACAGCAAGCCATTTGCTCTCCCTCTTTCAAAACAAGTGAAACGACGATAACCACGAGTCACAAGACCACCCCCTTCTCTCTCTCTCTCTCTCTCTCTCTCTCTCTCTCTCTCACTTTCAAATCTAAACGAAACGGCGACGACACACACACAACAACAACGACAACAAAAAAGGTCGACTGCGAGTTCCTGAGCGACGGTCGCGTACTGCTCAAGGCGAAGCTGATCTCGAGACAGACGGTGATCGACCATTTCGTCGAGGAGGGCACCCAGGGGCTGCACTTCTGCCGCGTCGAGGCCCGCGGCGACGAACCCCCCTCGAACGAACAGAACGGGGACGCCTCGGCACGGGTAGAGGAACTCCACGTGAGGACACGGCGGCTCATCCAGGATGCCATTGGGCCCTTCATGGTAAGTATGTAGCACGGACCATTTGGAACCAAAGAAAAGTGTGTGGTCTGTCGTTCCCCTGTCCCCTCCTGTTACCCAGAACGCCATCTCGTTTGTGACCGGGGGCTGCAGTTTCCCGCACCCGGTCAACAACGCACGCAAAGAGAGAGAGAATCGTAGAATGTTACCGAAGACTTAGGGCTGTAGTAGGGGTTGGTTTGTGGAAGGTCCTGATTATCGTGAAACGGGTACACAATACTGTCTGGTGTCATCGGGCCCTTCATGGTAAGTGTCATGAATGCATGCCGTCTAAAACGCAAGGAACGTAAAGACTCGTTAGTAGTACGTAAACCAAGACCTAGGGCGGCAGTAGGGGGGTGATTCTGGACGGTCCTTTTCTCGGGCAACGGGTAGAATACATGGCGTGCAAAACATATCAAGACCCTCAAGACCCATCGTTGAACTTTTTGTGTTTGGTTGAAAGCAAGCTTGTACCTTTTCGAGAGGCAACTGCAGTAGCGTGAGACACGCCCCCACGCGTGAGTGTGTGTAAGCTTGTCGTCGTAGGCTATACTTGTAAATCACCTTCGTTCTATTGGCAAAATCGATTGCTGCCGCCTGTGTGGACCTCCGGCCCGCATGAATGGTGAACAGCAGCGCTTTGGCTCGTCCATAAGAGACGTAGATTTAGCAGGAAGATAACATCTTGAGAATTCGCACGGGTCCTGCCTCCAGAAAGCCATGCAAGTAACCAACACACCGAACTGTTGTTTTTTCAACAGAGACACAAACGCTGCTGTGCCGTATCGCTGTCCTGCCGCCATATGTGCCCCCCCCCCCCCCCCCACCGGCGGCCGAAAATATCCAAAGGGAACGGGAAAACCCCGCGAGGGCGGAAAGGTT